AAAGTGTAGAAAATATGAAAATAATTAAAGAAAACAAAGAAATTAATAAAAGAAACAGAAAAGAATAGATATAGAAGAAATACTTAGAGAAGATGAAGAAGAAAAATTTTTGAAAGAAAAAGATAAAAAAAGAAAGGAGTTATAATGTGTATTATTTTAATAATAATATCTATGATGAAATAATAGAATACATTGAAGAAATTGGAAAGAATGAAATAACAAGAAATACAAAAAGAAATCAATAAAATACATATATAATAAAAAGTATTTAGAAAATAAATTTATATGATATAAAAAAGAATATAGAGAAATAATCCAAGGAAAAAGAAATAAAATACAAGATTTATTAATAAGAAGGATTTATAAAAATTAGGAATGATAATAAGAATAAGAACATTACAAGAAGAAAAGAATAGAAATGAAATAAGAAATAAAAGAAATAAAATATTTAAAAGAGAAATAAGTAAAAATAAAAGAAATAGAATCTACATAAATAAAATCATAAATAACAATGGAAATAAAAAGAGAAATCACATAAAGAAGAAACAATTTTATTTTTGAATAAAATAATAATAAAGAAAGAAAAATAAAATTAGAAAAAGAAATAAAGAAATAATAGAAGAAAATAAAACAATAAAATAGAAAAGAATAACAATAACAATGGAAGATAGTGAAAATGTAATAACTACAACACCAACATTGAAACAACATGTCTAGACACAATACAATGATATTATTTGAAAAGAATAGAAAGTATTATGAATAAATTAAATAATATATTTAATGAATGGATAGAAATACCTAAAACAATCCAATTAGAAATGTTAACAGGAATAACTATTTTAATATATAAATAATGAGATAATAAAAATATAGAGAAATATAGACCAATTACTTGTTTAAATAAATATGAAAATATTCACATCAATTATAAAAAGAAAATAGAAGAACAACTATAAAGAATGAAAATAAATTCAAAATTAATAAAAATCAATATTTGAATAAGAAAGTTTATCAGATAAAGAATGAAATATAAAGAGTTTAATAGAAATGAAAGAGAAACACAAAATAAAGATATTTAGAAATATTTTATCATATTAAAAAAGTATATGATACTGTAAAACATAAATGTATAGAAATTACATTAAAATAATTCAAAATACTATTTCAAATAACATAATTAATAAAAGTATGAATGAAAGAAGAAGAATAAAAATAAGAAATAAATATAAAGAAGAAATAAAAGAAGTTAAAATAAAAAATATTATTTTACAATGTGATTCACTATCTCCTCTCTTATTTGTATTATAAATGAATATAATCTGTGATAAGATTGATAAAATAAATGAAAAATGATTAAAAGTATTAAATGTATTATATATTGATGATGTTAAAGTAACTAATGAAACAAAAAAGGAATAGAAATAACAAAACAGAAAATAAAGATACAATTGAATCAACATTGAAATAAACATAAATAAATGTGGAGTATTAAAGAAATATAAACATCACAGATAACATGAATACTATACCATTAGTATATGAAAACACATACATATAAATATTTAATAGTTTAACAAATTACAAGAAATGAAGAATTATGATGTATAAAGAAAATAATTAACAATATAAAAGAATAATTAGAATAAATAAATGAAATGATAATAATAAGAATTATATTAATAGAATAAATACATAAATAATACATAAATTCACATATAGTGGTTCTGTTGTTAAATGAACAAATATAAAAATAAAAGAAATAGATAAAATGTATAAGAAAATAATTAAAAGAAATATGATATGAATATGTGTACCAACAGATTATATATAAATCAAAATAAGAGAATGATTAAAGAGTATAATAGATGAATAATGAAATAATAAGAAATATTATATATTTCAGAATGAAAAGAGGAGATAAAATAGAAGATATAATAAAATTAAATAAAAAAAAAGAAAGGAATAATGAATAGATTGTATAAATCAAGTTGAAAAAGAATAAATAAAGAAGAAAAAAGAAAGATAAAAAGAAATAATAAAAATATAAAAGATAAATTTCAAGAAGAAAAAACAATAAATGGAGAAATAAGAAAATAATGAAAATTTAAAAAGATTTGAAGATAAAATACAAACCAAAAGAAAACAATTAATATTATAAATAAAATATATTCAAATAAAGAAAAAGTCACAAACAATGGAATAAAGAAAGTAATATGAACCATGAACCAAAATATTTAATGTATGGTATTTGTAATAAAATATCAACAATAAACCATATCATTCTCATTTGTATAATCACTAAAAAATCACAAATGAATAAACATGATAAAATGAATATATATGGATTACTTTAAAGATTAAATAAGAAATATATTCAGTGAAGAAATATGAAAAAGAAGAAAATACAAAGAAATTAATAATAAGAAAAGAAGAATTAGGAAAAAAAGAAGAATAGAAATAAAATACTTATGATTTTGAATCAACAAATAATAAATAAAAATGATAAGAATATCTAAAAAGACCAAATATTTATGTAAGAGATTTAAAGAAAGAGGATTAATTATAGATATAACAATAATAAGAGATAAGAATATAAGTAAAACATTTACAAATAAAATAAATATATGAAATTACATAAATATATTAGAAAAATAGAAAGATTAATAAGAGTAATAATAATCTTAGTTGTAATAACATTGATTAATAAATAAAGAAATAATTTTATTAAGAAGTGAAAGAATTAAAATTGGAAATAACAAATTACTTAAAGATAATGTTATATCAAATATAAAAGAAAATAAAGAAATACTAAAGTAGTCATTATGGAGAATATAGAGATATAAAAGAAGCAGAAGAAGTAGATTCTTTGGAGAGTGAATAGAAGAAAATCTCACCTGAACAAGATTAAAATTATTAAATCTTAATTTATTATTTATTATTATTGTAGTTTTACATCATTCATTTCTTTTGTTTTGTCTTTGGATCTTTCAATTTCTCCATTATTTTCTTCTTTCTTATTGAATATACTTCTTGGAGAATATCATACCATCTCTTTATCTTCATAATTTTTAAGTATTTTTGAATATTCTCCTTTCTCCAATTCATCATTGTTCTTTTAATCTTCATTTGAATTTCATTTGTTGTTAACAATTTAGATTTCTTATTTGTATTACTTTTATCATCATAGCATTTACCCTGTTTCTTATTTGTTTTTCTTTGTATTCTTCTTTTTCTAAACCCTTTTTTTTGGTATTTCTTTTACCATTATTATTATGTATTTTATTGCTATTTCATTCATTCTCTTCTTTGAACCTGAATATCCGTATCTTGTTTTGTTTTCTTTACAAGAGTCAATAACATACTTAATAGAATGGCAACATAATTGGATGATATTTTACATTGATAAAAGGATAAATAATTATAAAATATAAATAATAAAAATTAAATTAAAAAAAAAAAGAAATAAACTAAATAGAATAAAATAAGAAAAAGAAATATGAACACAACAAAAGTTTCAAGACCAATATATATTCCACATAAAAGAAATGGGTTTGCATTATTACAATCATATGTTACATATTCAGAAGGTTTGTTTTTTTTTAAAAAAAAAAGAAAAGAAAAACAAAGATATAATTAAGTAGAAAATATGATTTATCATTTTGAAGGAAAACAATATGTTTTAACATTTCCAAGGAAGGTTATTAAAATTTATCCATTAAATGTACCATTTAGTTTAGAATATGTAGTAATGATATTTTGGAATGGGATAAGTATTAATCATTTAAATTTAAAAGAAGGGACATTAAATAATACAACGATTTATTCAATTTCTACAATTGTTGAAAGTGTACAAGATTATTTTTCAATAGTAAGAGGAGGGATGAGTAAATTTGTAGTATTATATAATCAAAAAAAAGTAATTTCTGTTGAAGTAGCACCACTTAAATTACAAGGAGGAACACCAGTTAGTACAAGTGAATTTATGATAGAAAATAAAAAAGAAATATTTAAAGGAAATATAATAGAATTAGAAGAAGAATTTACATGTATTACAATGGGGAAAAAAATATATTTAGGAGGAAAAGGAGGAATATTTGAAGTAAATGGAAAAGAAATCAAAAATATAAGTAAAGAAATTCCAATAAGAATTGTAAGTGGAAAAGAAAATATAACAAAAGATATTAATGATCAAATAGGAATTTTAACAAAAAATCAAATAATATATGGAGATGTTACTCAAGTTGGATTTAAAGAAAGAGAAAAGAAAGAAATAGAAAAATCAATAAAACATATTTCAACAGGATGTTATGAAAATGTAATGATGATAGGATGTGGATTTTCAGATAAAACAATAATATATGAATATGGGAAAGAAATTAAAGAAAAAGAATTTAAAAAAGGAAAAAGTAATATAGGAAAATATTTTGGAATAATTGAAGATATTGTAGTTATAATTACAAATGATATAAAAGAAGGATGGATAGAAGAAATAGGAATAGAAAAAGAAGAAGGAATGGAATTAGCATTAATACCACAAAGTGATAAAAAAATAGGGAATGAAAATGAAGAAAAAAGAAAAATGAATGAAATAATTAAAAAACAAAAAGGATATATTGAAAAAGAAAATCAAAAAGCTAATGAATATATTAAAGAATATAAAGAAGAATATGAAGAAATGAATAATAAAAATAAAGAAAAAGGAAAAATAAGAAAAGAAAATAATAAAAATTATTTAGAAGAAAGAAAAATAGAAGAAAATAATCAAAATGAAAAAATAAATATTCCATTAATTGATTCAACATATTATGATATATTTTCATCATATGTTAAAGAATATGAAGAATTAAGTATAATGTTAAATGAATTAAATGGATTATTAAAAACAATAGATGAATTAATTGGAAATAGTGATAAATCAATTACAGAATATAATTCATTATTAGAAATATTAGAAAAATAAATAAAATAAAAAAAAAAAAAAAAGAAAATTAATTTATTTATTGTGTAATTGTTTTTTTATCATTTCCTCTTTTTAATATAAATTTGCATTTTGATTTTAAATTTTTTTTAAATTCTTCTAATTCTCTAATAAAAGATAAACCATTTTGAGAAATAATAGTTTTTTTTCTTTTTTGAAATTTTTCTTTTGGTAATAAAATCCATTCCCAAATTTCATTTGATACTAATTTTTCATCAGCAATTAATATAGGAGTAGTTTTTTTTGTATAATTTTTTTGCATACTTCTTATAGCTTTTCCTAATGGAAGAATTTCTTTTCTTATTAAATCTTTATCAATATAAATATTTATTGTTACTCCAATATCCCAAAAACTATTTGTAAAAAAATCATATTTTTCATCTTTATGAATATTTAATTTAATCCAACATCCTTTATAATCTATAATATTTTCTTTAAATATTACATTAAATCCAAAATATTCTAAATATATTTTTATTGATGCTTTACTCATTTTATCAGTTATTCCTTTTATTAATACTTTTCTTTTTGTTATTAATGTTTTTTTATCACCTAAATTTTGATAAATAATATCAATTTTAATCCAATATCCAATTGTTTTAATTTCAATTTTATCTTTTTTTATTCTTGTTTCACCTCCTGTTAAACTTATTTTTCCTTCTTCATTTTTAACTTCAAAATAAAGTCCTTGAATATTATTTCCTAAAATTCCAAGATCATATACTATTTCTTCATTTTCTTTTAAATAATTAAATATTGGAATAATATAATTAAATTTTTCATTTCTATATTTTTGAATAATTTTATTTATTGATGTTAAACTTTGTATTGGTTTTTTAATCATAATTTCTTCAATTTCTTTATTATTATGAATTATTTCATTAATTCCACTATGACTAATATGTAATTTATTTTTATTCATAAATATATTAATTATTGATTCTATTAATGTAATACATTCTATAATATTAAATTGATGTTGTTCATTTGAAATACTTGTATTAATATAAACAAGTGATGGTGATACTGTTGGTTCTTTTGTAATATGTAAATTTACTGTTGGAATTCTAATAATATATGATGTTATTGGTTCTTTTATTTCTTTAATAATAATTTTAACTAATTCTTGATAATTATTAATTATTACCATTAATTCTCCTTCTTTATTAATTAAAATTGGACTTTGAATTTCATGATATTCTATTCCACTTTCTTTTAATAAATTTGTTGGTATAAATGGATTAATAAATATTGTTTTTGTTCCATATAATATATGAATTTCTGTTAAACTTCGAATAAGTTCTAAATGTGTTGTTGTTAATTCAATTTCTTCTATTTTTTCTTTTTCAATATCTTTTATTTTTTCTTTCATTTTATTTTCAATTGCTTCTGATAATTGTGGCCATAAATTGGATTTTTCTTGAATAAATGGAAGTATTTCTGATATTTTTTTAAGATCTTCATCAAGTATTGTTAATTTTTTTATTATTTCATCTATTGTTGGTCTATCTTTTGGATTTATTTCTGTCATTTCTAGTATTAAATCTTTATACATTTGATATTGTTTTTCAACTATTTCATTAATTTTTCTTTGATTTTTTAATTTATCTAAATTATATATAAATTCTGATCTTGTTGTAGGTGATAAACACATTTCATATAAAATTATTCCAAGACTATAAATATCTATTTTATTATCATAATTCCCTGTAACTATTTCTGGTGCTGCATATCCAATTGTTCCAACTATTCTACTTTTATAATCTGTATTTGTTCTTGCTAATCCAAAATCTCCTATTTTCATAGTATCTTTTTCTTTTAAAATATTTCCTGGTTTAAGATCTCCATGAATAATACAATGTTGATGTATTGTTGAAACTCCCATAACTATTTGTTTAAAATAATTCATTACTTTATTTTTTCCTTCTTGTGAACTATAATGTAATTCTTTATTTTTAATAATTTTACTTAAATCTCCTCCTGTACAATATTCCATTTGAATACAAATCACATATTTTTCTGATTGATTATCTTGTATTTTATTTTCTACTATTGTTAAATTAACATTTTCTTCTTCTTCTTCTTTATTTTCTATTGTTTCATTTTCTTCTTCTTCTTCTTTATTTTCTATTGTTTCACTTTCTTCAATATATTCATATTCATATTCTTCTTCATTATCATTATCATTATCATTATCTTCTTCATTTTGACTTAAATATTCTTCACTATCATTACTATATGGTGAATCTTCCCATTCAATTTCATTTGGATCAAGACATGAAACTTCATCAAATTCAATTTCTTCTTCACTAAAATAATTAGTATCATCTTCTTCTGATAATTCTTTATCTTTTTCAGTTTTTTGTTTATTGACCCATTCATAATCTTCTTCAGTTAATTTTTCAATCCATGTATCATAATATCTAACAATATATTTATTATTATTAATACATGCTAAACTTCTTATTTCATTTTTTACTTCTTCCATACGAACTTCTCCTGTTGTAATAAGTACTTTAATTGCATATTTTCTATTTAATTATTTTCATTTTATTTTTATTATTATTACAAACTTTTTATCATCATTTCTTATTACTGAATATACTTTTCCATATGATCCACTTCCTATTAACTCAATTTGACTAAAATCTTTTTGAAGAAATCGTGGTCCTTCACTCATTTCTTTTTAATTGTATTACTTTTTAGTTCTTTATGAAAATAAAAACATTAAATTTTTATCTTTCTTTTGAATTATTCATGTCCTTCATAATATCCTTCTTCATATCCTGTTCCATATTCTTGATAATATTGATTATTATATTGAATAAATGTTTCAATTATTTCTTCTTGTTTACTTATTCTATTTTCTAATTTTTGAATAATATTTTTTAATTCTTCTATTTCTTTTTCTTGTTCTAAAATTTTATTAATAATTTCTCCTGTATTTTCTTTAAAATAATTTGTTTTTCTTCTTGGTGGTGGAAGTGTAGGTAATTTTTCTTCTATTTCTTCTTTATTATTATTTATTTCTGTTTTTTCTATTATTTCTTTATTATTATTATTTATTTTTTTATATTCTTGTATTTCTTCTTTTATTATTTCTTGTTTTTTATCTTCTTCTTTATCTATAATTGCTGTTAATACACTATTTGCACTATTTCCTCCAATAAGTTCATTTGTTTTATATTGTAATCTATTTGGTTTTGGTGGAAGATAATTTGGTTTTGATGTTTGTATTGTTGGACTTGTTAATACATTATTTTGTGACATAACTTTTTGAACTTGTTCTTTAACTAAATTCGTTCCATCAATAACTTCTGCTTTATTTGTTTTATGTGAAAAAATAGTTTGTCTAGGTTTACCTGCATTAATTCTTTTTTGTCTTTCAATTACAACTTTTTGAATTTCTTCTGTAACTTTTTCATATGGTGCAGCTGGATGAGGAACTACAGCTGGATAATTTGGTGGATTAATTCCTGCTCTTAAATTTAAATCTTCAATTTCTTTAAAAATTTCTTTATAATAATTTATTAATGTAGCAAATCCTTCAATAACTAATTTAGTATTTTCCATTTCTTTCATTGCTTCTTGAGGAGGTGCTCTACAAATAGTAGGTCCAAGACATGTTCCTAAATTATTTGCATTCATTTGTGTTTTTTCTACATTTTTAACAACTTCTTGACAAAAATAACATAAATACCATAATGTATTTTTATTTACATCAGGTAATTTATTTATTAATTTTTTTGCTTCTTTTTCTTTTGTTCCTTCTTTTAATCTTCCAATAATAACAAATTCATTATAATATTGAAATGGTATTAATGGATCTGGTAATTCTCTTAAATATTCTTTAATAATAGCTGCTGCACATGCACATTCTTTAAATTCTTCTATTGCAATATCTTGATCTCCATCTAAAATTGATTTAACTCTTCCTACTATTTTATATGATGCACTTGTTCTAAAAATTCCTTCAACTTCACTTCCTTTATTTTTTTGAAGATATTCAATACCTCTATAAATTGGAATAGGATATCTCCATCCTGATTTACTTACTGCACATCCTAATGGATATTTAAATGTTCCATATACTTTTGTTAATAATGGTAATGTACTCATCCATTCATCAAATTCAATTTGTGATGGACAACAAAATGTATATACTTTATCATAAAATATTTCAAAACATAATTTTTCTTTCCCTTGTGGAATCATTTTATTTCCTTTATTAATATGAATATTAAATATTGCTATACTTAAATCAATTTGAAATTTTGGTTTTGATGATTTCTCTATTAAATATAAATGTTGATCTTTAGATGTTACAATCTTGATTTCTTTTGTTTCAAATTTCTTATTATATAATACTTCTATTATTCCATATGTTTTAGTCCTAATTCATTATTTTCTTTTATATTTTCTTCTATTCTATATTCTTCTTACAAACATTTTCTTTCTTTTTTTCTTTTTAAGTTCATTTTTAAGATGTCTCTATTTTTTTTTCTTTTTTAGTTTTATTTCCTCTTTTTTTCTATTTTTTTTTTTTTTCTTTTCTTTGAAGAAAAATAAGATATATTACAATAAACATTATATGAAATCAAAAAATATAACACAATTCTCTATTAATAGAAGTAGTATCTATTATTCTTAATCAGTGTTTATTCCAATACTTGAGTTTTCTTTTAGTAATTCATTCAATTATGTTTGGTTATGGTAGAATCAATGTTCATCTTGTTTTTTTTGGTTACATAGTTTTATCTTCTTTTATGTTGTTTTATTTCTTTTAATATTTAATGTTTAGAGATATATTTATACAACATAAGAATACCATGAAGATTATATAGAAATAACTATGAACAAACAAATAGATTTAGAATACATTATTAATATTATAACTATAATCATTATTAACAAAATAATAGCATAATCACTTTAATAATCATCATATTTATATACAATAGTGTTTCTCAACTAAACAATATAATAAAAAGAAAAGTAAGTATATACCACAAATACCATAATGTAGGTAAATTGTTTAATCAATATTATTCTGAGAATAAACAAATAAAAGATGTAGAAATAATTATAAGAAAAGCTAATGAAAGAAAACAATAAATGGTCAAGAATAGATGAAGAGATTTAAAGAAATATGATAGTGAAAGAGAAACTAAGTAATAAAGAATAAGAAGAAATACATATTGAAATTGAATAAAAGAAGAAACAATAAAAGAAATAATACAAGAACAAGAAAGTAGAACAGAAAGAGATAATAGAAATATATGAAAAAAGAAGAAAATGAAATAGAACTAGAAAGAGAAATTAAATAAATTAAAAAGGAAAAGGAGAAATACAAAAAGAAAGAAGAAGGAGAAAGAAATAAGGAAAAGAAAGAAGAAGTGAAAGGAAACAATAAAACAAAAGATAAGAACAAACAACAAGAAGAAATAACAAAGATGAAAGAACAAAAACAAGAATTAGAAGATAAATTAAGAAATACATAAAGAAAATGATAAGATTGAAATATTAAAAAGTCAATTCTCAAACTATCAGAAGAAAAAGAAAACAAGGTCAATAAAGAAAATATCAAAGATTTAAATTTTAACAAATTGAAGAAGAAGAAAACAATACCACTGACAAAACAGAAATACCAAAGAAGTGGATCTAGTGGAATAATTATAGAAGAGAAGAAGTAGATACATCAAAGAAGAAACCAGGAAGAAACTAAAACAAATACAAGAATGGTAATTCAAATCAGGAAAGAAGAGTTGCTGAGAATGACAATAGAAGAACTGGAGAAGATAATTTGAGAGAATATCAATATAGAAGAAATAATGAAGAACAAATGAACAATCAGAACTAGAAGAAAAGAAGATAATAAGTTATTGTTATTGAATAAATATAATATTAAAATGAAAATTAGATATTATAGAAATTAAAGAGATAATAGAAGAAAGAAGAATAAAGATAAATAAAGAATATGAATAAAAGATGAATAGATGAAAGAAGAAAGAAGAAAGAAAAAAAAAGATAATATAAATAACAATAAATATAATAAATAATTATACTTTAAATTATTCAATAAACTAAAATAAATAATGATAAACAATATGAAAGATGAAATAAATAATAATAAAAAGAAATGATACAATAAAATAAATAAAAATAAATAAAATAACATATAATTATTATTTCAATAAAAAACATGTAATGAAGTAATTAAATATATAAATGAAGAATGAAAGTGTGAAAGTGAAAATATAAAAGATATCAAAAAGAAATATATAAAATAACATATCATATTTCTAAATATCAATAAAATAATTTTATAAGATATTGAAATGATGAAATTAATTATCTAAGAAAAGAACCAATAAATTAAAATAATTATAATTAACAAGAATTACACTAGAATTAAAATAATAAAGAGAAATAAATAATACAAAGAGAAATATATTATTAATAAAATAAGAAATTAAACAAATAAAATATTTAATTAATATAAAGAAGAAAAGAATAAAAACTAATAAAGAAGATAAGAGAAGAATAAGTAAAAATAAAATAATAATAAGAAATGTGAAGAAGAATAAATAAAATACATAATATCATAATAATGAAATAATAAGATAATAAAAGATGAAATGAATTAGAATTAATAAGAACAATAATGTATTATGAATTGAAATAATGAAATAAGAGAAAGATGAAAATGAATAAGAAATGAATTTGGAAGAGATTTTACAAAACATGTGAGAAGAGAATTAATAAAAATGAAAATAATGAAATATACTTATTGTTACAAAATAAGAATGAGTCATCTATAATAATAAAATATTTAAATAATAAATATAATGAATATTAATAAATTGAAATTAAATAAAGTAAATATTCATTTAATAAAATAAATTGAAAATGAGATACATGATATGAAATTAACAAGTAGAATATGGATGAATATTAATATAAAATGAAATGATTATAATTAATTAAAATTAATGCAAGAAAATGGTATATTTGTATTAATTAAGAAAGTATTAATTACATAAAATAATAAATTAAAATGGTGTAGTATTTATAATGATAAAATATCAACAAATGAACATATGTCATTAAATTATATTGTAAATAAGAAAGTACATATTAATAAACATGAAATAATAAGAGAATCTATCTGGAGAAGTGATAAATTAAAATATAAAATAAATATAAAGAGTTATGAAGAAATGGAGAAGAAAATAAAATAGAATAAAATAAAATTAATATTCAATACAAATGAAATAATTAAATTCAAAATAAGAATTGAAGATAATGAAGTGTTCATTGTATTGAATCAATAAATAGTTAATAAAAATGAATATTTCATAAAATATCAGATATTTATATAGAATACAAGATAAATAAATAAGAACAATAAATAACATGACAATAATATGTGATAAGAAGATAATTCTGATATTTACTAACAAACTTGAAATGAATAGAACTCTCCATTTCAAAACAATATAAATTAATAAAATAAAATGAAAGTAATTCCAGTGGTAATAACAATAAATTGATTATTCAATAAAGAATCAGTAAGAATGCTAAAAGAACAAGATATAATAATTCAATATAAAATAATGGTAAAAGATATAATAATTAAAAACATGAAAGATCTAATGAAATACTGTTGATAACATGGAGGTGAATATAGTGATATAGAAGTACTCATGGATAAGACTATGAAGAGAGTGAATGAAGTAATCTCACCTGAGCAAAATGAAGTAGAGAAAACAAGATGATACTTAATTTGTTAGTTTTTATTCTTTACCAACAAGAATGAAATAATAAGATAAATATAAATAAAGAAGAATAAAAGAAGTTTGAATAAATTAATAGAAACGAATTATAAAATGATAAATAAACAACATAACTAAAAGGATTACCAACAATATAGATGATAATATAACCATTTACATATATAACTAAAACTTCATTCATTTAATATTCATATTTAATGTATTAATGTAATTAAATTAATCTTTGATATAGAATATAATAATATATTTTAATGTAAAATTCATAAATTGGATATAAAATAATAAAATAAGAGAATATAAAGAAGAATATAATAATAAAATAAGATATAATCATTCTTATTCTTATTATTTATTATATTTGATATTTTATTTTATATTGATTTTTATCTTTGAATATCATCTTTTGTTTCTTCTTTTTATCAATTTTTTCTTTTCTAATCATCATTTATTTCTTATTTTTGTTCTTTGTTGTTATTATTTTATATTAGATGATATTTTATCATTTTATGTTTGTTTATATTGTTTGTTTATATTTTATTATTATTATTTATTGTTGTTTATCTTATATCATTTATTTATTATATGTTGTATTGATATTTAACAATGTTAATATGAAATGAATAATAATGAATAAATATAAAATAAGAATAAAATGATATAAGAATATAACATAAATAATAAAATAAGAAATATATAATAGATATAAAGATAAAAGAAGAAGAATAAAATAAATATAATGTAAACATGGTATAAATAAAATAAAAAAGAAATAAAAAAGAATAAAATAAATATTTTATTATCTTTTTATTTATCTTTTATTCTTATTTCTTTTTATTATTTATTAATTAACATAATGAATATGATTCTTTCAAATAAAATAAAACAAGAATGAAATATGAATATTTTTATATTCATCATTTCATTTATTGATAGATGAAATGTTAATATTCATTTATTAATTTTATTTTATATTCTTTTTTATTTTTATATTTCAAATAAATAATAATGAATAAAAATCATTTCATTTCAATTACAATAATTCGTTGTGGTGTGAAATATTCTGGATATTTTTTTCAATAAAGTGCATTTGATATTCCTTTATATGAAAATGAATATCGTTTACAATATGATTCTGTTTTATTATTTTCTTTATAAACACAAATATCACCATCCCATCCAAATGTAAACAATAAATCATCTGATTGATTATATAAACAAAATGCATGTTGTGTATCATTAATATCAAATTTCATCATTCTTTGTATTCTTCCTTTTGATTTTAATGAAAATAAAAATGATTTTGGGTCATTTATCCATTTATTTACTTTATCAATTTTCTCATTAACATATCCTCCAAATTTATTTCCTTTTGTATCTTCAATAATAATTATTATATGTTCTTTATTCTTTAATTTTTGATCAATACTGATGTACCTTTATTCCAATCATCAATATCTGAACCAAATAATATATTGGATACTTTTCTATTTGCCCATTATTCTATTTGTTGTATTTCCTCCATGTACTTATTTTTATTATAGTTTTTATTATTTCTTCTTCTATTTTTTTTTTCTTTCTTCTTCGTGTTTCTTTCTCTCTTTTTCTTCATCTTCATCTTTTATCTTCTTCTTCTCTAAATAATCAATATATTGTGTTTTTCATTCTTCTTTATTTTTATTAAATCTTGTTTTAATATTGTTGATTTCTTCTTCTAATTTCTTAATTTTTTCTTTCATATCCATTTCTTCAATGTGAATGATTTTATCTATTAGTTCATTCTTAGCTTTATTAACTATTTCTGAATCATCATTATATTCTTCTATTATTTTATTCATTTGATTTTTAATTATTTCTATTTTATTTATTGTTTCTTGTCCTTTTTCTATTACTATTCTTCTTCTAACTATTTCATCAATTCTATCAAATATTCCTTCTCCTCTTTTAATTGCTTGTTCATATGTTTTATTATCTTGTTTCTCAAATATTTCATTTTTAATACATCCTAAATAATAATGATAATGTTTAGTAGTATCATCAATTGATTGTTGAATATTTGGAAGTGTTTCTATTTCTTCTTTAAAGAAATGATTATTCATCACTGATTCCATTTTAATTTAATTAATATCAGATTAAAATCAGATGATTAAATAACTAAATACACATTTATAACACTTCATTTATTTTATTTATTATTTTAATAAGCGTCATTTCATTTTCATTGTTTTAAATAACAATAATAAAAACAAGAAATAGAAGATAATAAAAAATAATAAATAATAAAACATTTCATCATAATTAATGAAATATCACATAATAATGATATAAATGAGAATAAAATATAAATGAAAATACAAATAAAAAACAATCAAATAATTATAAAGATAAATAAATGATGATTAATAATAAATGAAAAATAAAAGAAAGAGAAAATAGAAATGATAGAGAATAAGAGATAATGATGATATGAAATGAGATATACTGAGATAAAAGTGATATGAAGAAGAAATAAATCAAAAAAACACTAAATAACAATAAGAAGAAAAGATAAATAACACACAATAAAAATAACAATATAAAAAAATTAATCCAACAATATGATAAAGAAATTTAACAAAGAAATAGAGAAACAGAAAAGAGTAATACTGAATACATAACATTGATAATGGTAACAAAAACAATGAATATTAAAATGAAACTATATGAATGAAAAACATAAATAAAGATAAGAAGAAATGATTATAAAGAAACAAGATAACAAATCAAGAAGAAAATGAAACACAAAAACAAAAGGAATATTAATTAATGTATTGTATGATTTACAAATAATTTGTTAAATAAGAAAATGAATAAATAGAAAATATAATAAAAGTAATAAATAATAATGTAAATAACGAGAAAGAATACATTAATAATATTAAAATATCACATAGAATAAACAACTAAAATATATATTAAAATGAAAATAAACTCAAACATAGAAAATAGAGTATAATCAATAATAAAAACATCAATATGAAAAATAATACTATTGATATTGATAATGAATATCTTAATATTATCATCATTCAATTAAAATAAATGAAAATAAATTAAATCATAATTTAGAATGAAATATACAGATTATGATAATATTATCATAACATTAGATGATTTAAATTTAATGAAATAATTAATTACATATATTAACATTATATATTATATTAATTGAAGAGAATATCATTATCAAGAGAATATTTCTTAATATATTTAATAAATAGTTAAATTTCAATGAATTCATCAAATTAAATATGGTAATTGAAGAACAATATTAATCAATAAATGAAGTGATATGAATGATGTTATTAATTAACATCATATCAATTGTATAAATTTAATTATGAAAATATTTATATCATTATTAAAAGATAATATTCATAATAGAATTAATATGATTAATGAATCATTTAAAATTAATAAAAATCAATTATTATGTAAATTATAATTTCTTGATGATAGATAATTAATAAATAATTATTATATGTTAAATCAACAGAAATAAGATAAATATACAAATTCATATTATGATATTAATAAATTATATGAATCAATGAATCATGAATAAGTAATAGAAATATTAAAATAATTTAATATAGAATAAATCAACATAAATAATATATAAAATATGATGAATATAATCATATGATATAAATATAAATAATATATTAAAATGATAAATTTTACATTATGATTCATTATCAATTCTATTATCATCAAAATAAATATAATTTATCAATTCATTAAATATAAGTTCAATAATATAAATCATATATTATATAACGAATAAATGAGAATAATCAACATATAAATTAAATAAATAATAAATTAAATAAAGAAATGAAAGAAAAAAACAAGAAATAAATAATATTAATCAAATACTATCTTGAAATGAAAATATCACAATAATTGAAATAGATAAATTGTATAAATATTTAAATATATGATATTCAGACGAAATTAATAATATACTCAATTATAAATATCAAATAAAAGATAATAATGAAAATAGATGAAATAAATAGTGAAGAAATTAGTAATATGGGATATATTACAATATTAACAAGAATTGATCAATATCTAAAGATATTCAATATTAGTAGTGAAAATGAAAGTAACTGATATAGATAAAATTAAAATTGAGATAATAAAATAAATAATAAATACAAAATACAATAGTGTTGGTAACTGCAAAGACAATTTGTGTGTCAATATAAATGAAATAATGAATAAAAACATGAATAATGAATATAATTAAAAAAATCACTAATTCATGAAATCAAAGAAACAAGAATAGAAGAAATAAAAATGAAATGAAAGAAAAAGAAGTAATAATAATAAACAAAATTAATGATAATCAAATAAATTAATAAATGGAAATTAAATAAGTGGATATTTTAGAAAATGTTTTGTTTCATTTTTTATAGTTAAAATTTATTATATTAAATTCATTGAATTCAACCATTATTAAAATGAATGAATTTATTTTATTAAATAAAATATAAGTTAGAGTAATATTCATTTTGTATAGAAAAGATAAAATATTAAAAATGATTAAATATTCAACATTTTATAATGATAAAATATCAATAATAAAATATATTCTATTATCCTGTATTATTCATAATAATTCACAAATTGAAAATATAATCATATTAATATTAATAATTAGTAAATATAAATGAAATTATCAACCAATGAAATCAAATATGAAACAATAATCTTATATATCACTATGAAATTAAATAACTAATTCAAAAAAATATTGATAATTTACAAAAGAATATATATGTAATATATAAAAATAAAATTTAATAATAAATGATATGAACATATAATATTAATTGATTATATTTGAAGAAAAGAAACACAAAAAATCGATAAAGAAAAAGAAGATAAAATAAAAATAATAAATTCAATAAATTGATTATTAAATACAGAAATCATTAAAACATAAAAGAAATAAACAACATAAAAGAAGATAAAACCATATAACCAAAAAAACAAAATGAACATTATGGAACATTAGTTCTACCATAACCAAACATAATTGAATGAATTACTAGAAGATAAGAACAATAGATACTAATTCTATTAACACATAATTAATTGTTTTTTTTTGTTTTATCTATTTCACACAATAATTTTAATGCTTCACGAGGATGACGTTCAAAAATTAGTAATTTTTTATTTTTATTGTTTTCCAATTGTTCTTTATAACATTGAATAATAAACTTTTGTAATGTATAATTTCTTATTGTTCCATTTGTTACTCCATTAAGTAACTTTTTTCCTTCTATTGGTGAATAATCAATATATTCTTTTATTCTTCCAACACTTTCTGTTTCAAAATATTTCATAAATGCATCAATAGTTGATGTTTTTCCAACTCCAATAGATCCAGTAAAAATAAGCATACCACGTTTGTGCATGATTATAAAAATGAAAGTAAAAAATATAAGATGAAATTTGATTAAATAAAAAGATCATTTATAATTATACTGTAAGTTTTGGTAATGATGGTAATATATATTCTGTTTCATCAATTGTTTCTTCTCTTTCTTGTACTAAATCTGAAACTTTAATTTTATCAAATGTTTTAATTTTATTATAACTTCCATCTAAATTAATATGACATAAACTTATTTCATATTCATTTGATTTTGTTTGATTAAATACATAATATATTTCTGCTACATAATAATTTTTATTACTATATGTATAAACATATTCATCACTTGAATTTGAGTTACAACAATATTTCATTATTGCTGAACAATCAATTGATTTTCTTCCAAATGAAATAAATAAATTATTTTGTTTGAGATTATAAGTTTTATCATCATAATAAAAATGATGATTAAAATTTGTGAAAGGAACAACAGATTCAAATTTTACTTCTTCATTTCCATAATTAATTAATTGTTTTACAATAATACCATTAATAACTTTATTATTTTCTGTTATTCCTTTAGGAATATTATTAATTTTATCATTAATATAAGATTTTAAACCATTCATTTTTATTATTGTTTCTTCATTAAAATAAAGTGGTGAATATAATGTTTCATTAACAAGAGAAGATAAAGATATTAATTGAGATGTTAAATTATTAATTTCATTCATATTTGTTGTATTTAATGTTATTAATTGTGATACATCATCTCTAATATCATCAATATATATATTTGTTTCTTTCATTTTCTCTTTTATTTCATCAATTTCATTATTTGATAGAATATCTTTAACATTAATTGTTGTCATTCCATCTGATGATTTAATTGTATCAAGATAAAGTGTATTATTGTTAAAATATCTTGTTGTTAAAATATTATTTTTATTTAAATATTTTGAACCAATTGCTTCCATTTAATAATGTAAATTAAGTTCTAAGATAAAATATTCATCCCAAATTCCAAGTGGCATAATGATATTTCCTTTATAATCTTTAAACCATATTTCTATTGAAGTTATATTTTTATTAATATTAAAATGTTTTGGTGTCATATTTCCATATGTTGAAAAACATATCATTTGATCATTTTCAGGTGAATCATAATTAAATGAACCATGACAACTAACACCAATATCTAATTGACCATTCAAATTAAAATAAACAAAATTCAATACTTCTATTGTTTTAGGATAATTTCAGAAGTAATAAATTCCCATGGTAAATTCACTTTCCATTTCCCTGTTGTTATATTTGGAGATGTATTTTCTCTTGTGATTGTTAAATATCTTTGATTACTCATTAATATGATGTTTTAAGATGAACTTAATAATCATCTAAACTAAAAATATTTATTTAATAAATACCATGTCAGTTGAAACTATTCAACATCAAAATCAATCAAACACTATGGAAGAAGAAACAACTAAAGATACTTCATCAATTACAACAATTCCACAATCACCTAGTCAAAATCAAACAAATGGTACTTCATCACAATTAACACAAAATGATAAGACTGATACTCTTAGTTATTTAAACACAATGAAATATACTAAAACTAGACAATATTTAGAACATCTTATGCAAAATATAAATAACATACCTAATACTTGGTATATTAATAATCAATTAATTTATGTTCCTATTCCTGATTCAATACAAGATTTTAAACATGACTCTATTTCAAATCAAGTTAAAAATTATCTAAATACATTGATTAATAATGATGACGATAATGGAATAAATAAAAGAATGCAAAAATTGGTTCAAATTCTTAGTACCAACTTTAAAAATATTTATAACTCTATTCAGTATTCTATTACTTATTATGTACAAACATTCATGAATTATATTTCATCAATATTAAGCAGATCAATAATGAATTGGGATCTTAAAGGAATGTTTTATTTAATTAATAATAATGATTATGAATATATTAATAATCCATTAGGGATATTATGTGATAATCTAATTTTATCAATTCAACGTTCAATTATTGTTAAAAATGCTAAATCAAAAACTGGAAGTAAAACATTTAATATTGAAAATGAATATAAACAAGCTACTCAAATTGGTGGAAAACAATATATACGTCTTGCTGGTTTACGTGATGATATTTCAAATAATAACGGATTTAGTAAATCATTAAATGATGGAAGAAGAAAACAAAAATCATCAAAATATGAAAAAACACAAAGGAAATTTTCATTTCATTCATTCTTTATTCTAGGAATGACTAAAAATCAAATTATTCAACAAACATTATTTAATGGAAAAGAAGGAGCAAGTGCTTTAGCTCATTTAATAAAAGCAAAAGTAATTCCTGATTGTGTAAGTTCAATATGGGTATGTTGTGTTGATAAAAGATATGAAAATGGAAGAAATGGTAAATTTTCTGTATCTAAACAAAATATTACATGGTCAGGTGGAAAACTTAAACCAGATATAGATGATGAAAAAGGATTAACAAAATATTTAATTATTTATTTATGTGCTAAAGATAATGACTATATGATTAAAAAACAATAATTCAATTATCTTTTTATAATTCTTAAATCTCCTGTTAAATTATCTATTTTTAATACTTCATTTTGATTTATAGATTGATATAAATAATAAGCAACAGAATTTGTAGCTGATCCTGCTGTTTGTCTATAAATATATCCAAAATTTTCTTTAGAATATCCTTTAAATATAATAATTGTTGCAATTTGTGTTTTAAATGATGGATTTAATGCTTTCCAAATATGTAAATTCACAATAATTGTTGTTTTTAAATGTCTTAATCTTGTAATAATTTCTCCCCATGTTTTATCTTCTTTCATTAATGCAAATGATGCATCTTCTAATATGATTAATAAATGTTTTTCTTGTGGTTGTTTATAATATTGCATTAATGCTGGCATAAATTTTTCATAATTCATTCCATAAATTGGTGTTTTAATTAAATCTTTTAATTCTTTAAATGTTTCATCTTCTCCTGCGTTTTGTGATACGTATATAATCGCTTCATATTGGTGTTCTATTTTGTTGAGTTTCGCTAATTCTTTCATAATAAATGTT